AGGCTTAAATAGCGAGGGGGACATAATATGAGATTATTCACATTTCACAGAATCCGACTACCGAAAGTGCGTTGCAAGAATATAAATGAAAAGAGTTAAAACGTGAAACATCTATGGACATAAATGTTAAATATAATATTACTTTATCTTTACTCTAATCTCTCGACCGACACGACCGGGCGACAATTTCCTGGAAACCCACGCACACGTGCAATAGTAAACGGGGTTAGCGCTATCTCATCGCTAGGAGAAGAGTGGAGAGTAGGCCTATAAAACAGGGACCCATCCACCCGATATTCAGACGTGATTTACCAGAGCCAGTACGAGCACCTTCACGCCAGTCGACTCTCTGATAAATTTCAGTGTACCAAAAATATTCTATCAGTTTTACATGTTAAAATAAAGTCTATGTTCATAATAATCTAAAATTGACTTAGAATTATTTACACCTCATCATATCTCTTGTCTTGTACACCACGATCTATGGGCTGGACCACTACAGTACTTAGATGAGCGAAAAACATTTAATTTTAAAATAAATATTACTTATTATTCATTCATTTTTTATACTACACAAAAAAGGTAAAAATGTATTTTAAGAATTAAATTAAAAAATTTATATTTAAATTTGAGTTGCCTTGTGAGTTTAATTAATTATATTATTTTTTACTATTCATACCCATTTTGCCAAATCCCAATTCGCTGACAACTCAGTTTGCCGATAAATATACCAGTTTTAAAATACTTTTAATATTATTTTGTTCATAAAATTTCAATTTTACCGATTCGCCTACAGCTAGGGTGTAACAGCGATGATATAAGTTCAAAGATACTATTTTTATAAGAGTACTATAGGTATTAATCTTATATTATTTACCATCAATTGTTCTTATTGTTCTTTTTTTTATGTAACAGATCGAATAAAAACTAATGAACCAAAAAAACCATAGGTACTAATTGAAATTACCTATGGGTACAACACACATTAAAAAAACTTAAAATAAACAAAAATAGTTTAAATACACAAAATGAACGTAATATTTGTAAAAACGAGCTTAAAAATGCAAAAAAATGTAAAATAAAAATTATATATTCTAAATTGTTATATCATGAAACAAATTTAGTTTTTCATTAGAACTGTATAGGACTTTAAGAAAAAAAATGCAAAAGTCACCAAAATCCTAACTCAGTAATGAGTCATTAGTCATTGTAGATAAAACTAATAGAAGGCAAAACAATGGTTATAGTTATCAACAAAATATAATTGACTATTTTATCACTATTTTTACTTATCGTATTATATTTTTAATTTGGCCGTCTAGTGTATCAAGTAACTGAATCAAGTAAAAATTATGTTCCGGAAATTGATCTTTATTCTTTACCCAATCGAAATTGTACCAATGTTCAAGTTTGTTGCAAAGTGGTTTGGAGTGTTTGGACGAAAGACAACACGATTTGCGGTGGACTGTCAGACCAGGACGCCGTACGGTGATGGAGACGGTTCATGTTCTCGTTAGGCCGCAACGGCCTGCTATTCAGCCGGCAATATTGTTGATCAACGGCGAAAATTATGACATGCAGCAACGGGCATACGAGCAAGATCAGGTAAAGCAATAAGTAATGACGCGTTCGAACACGGAACACTTTTGCATTTTTGCTGCCAGGCGCCGGCACTTATCATTAAGACTCCTTCAAGCTGTGCTGCGAGCGTGAAAACTTCAATGAACGGCGCTATTCCTCCTAGAGAGTCATCGAGTTCAAAGGTGATCTTGCCGCCGGCCCGGTTGTTTAATTGTGCGTGCCGTCGTGAAAATCTCGTGTGATCACGAGACTTGTGTTTTTGTCGTTGATGCAATCAGCCGGCATCATCAGAATCATAAGCAAGTAATCGATTTTTTGTTTTCCGTCTTAGAGGTTGACCACGACGCAGCGTCGCGTACGTTCACCGTCCGAGTGCCTCCACAATACTTCGTGTGATTGCGATACGTGATAATATCGTATTTGTCATTGTTGTGATCAGCCGACATACCCAATTTGTCAAAATACCTACTCATCAATTATATTATTGTGAGGGCCATGAGGTTTTGCCGGTTTTGGTTTCCGTCGTCGTGTACCGGGAAGTGCCGCCGACTTGTGTGGTATATACTCGCGGTATCCACTCGTCGAGCAGTCGCAGTGTTTCTCCTTGTCGAACAGCGGAAGTGGTTTCCTCTCGTAGACCGAAGTCCGAGAGAAGCAAGATGACGCCTGTCCGCTATCGCAGTTTCAGCGATGTACCGCCACTAGTTGCTATCAGTGGCGGTTGTGTTTCATAACTCAAGGAGCAAGTTTATAAACAACCCACCCACCAACTACATTTACTAGGGCCGATGTAATATTTTTAGGTTCTTCTTTAGTTAAATTCTTCATTAACTTTTACAATTTATGATATAGATACACTTATTTTTTACTCGAATGATCAATCCTCTGTTATGAATTATATAAATAAACCTGTTAAACTTAAACATTTTGTTTCCCGATTTATTTTCGATACAGGAGCAGTCGCTCCTAGTATTCTTATAACAAGCCGCCCCTGTTGGCTTTTACCGTGGTCAAGGTCTTATGTTTTATATAAAGTTCTCCTCTTGTTCAGTGGGGCACACCAAATTGTATTTTATATGAAGTCGTCGCTGTAGTATTTAGTTCTTAAGGATTATTGTTTGGTTTTGACTTTTGAGTAATGACACTATCGTATAATATAATGTTTAGAACACATGTACAACATTAAAATTTCATTGTGTACGTCATAATATCAACGTTTACAATTAAATAGGTTTTGAGCATAAGCGTACACACGGGGGCAGCAGAGGCAGCACATGCTGCCCCAGAACTTTCTTTGGGGCTACCACGGCCGGCAAATATTGAACAATGGACCTCCCTTAAATTATATTTCCAAAAAAAATTACCATTGTAGATAAAAAAAATTATAAAATTGTATTATGTGCGCGCCCCACATAACATTGCCCAATGTTACAAACTTCTATAAATATTGGAGTTGAGTTGAATTTGAAAGGTTCGAAAAATAAGATTCAATAATACTAGAATAAGTGTTTATTTTTAAACTTTACGTTTAAGTAAATTCTTATAGTGTTCCATAAACACTTGATTTGGATTAGATTTTAAATATTAGAAAGTTAATTAGTATTAAATGCTGAATAAACTTACAATAACTAACATTTAAATACAGTATAATGTATAAATTTTATTAAACCTAAATCTATAAACATTAATATTAGGTTACCAAGTTAACACTTTGCATACATTGAATTTAAATTGAATTGTAAATATGTTTACTCGAGTATATTTATTTAATGCTTAAAAATATTTCTTCCACTTTATTATAAAAAAGATGTATATAATAATTATAATAATAAATATATATAGTAGTAATATAATAATAATAAAGAGAAACAATCCGAAATGTATAAAATTATGTGAATGAAATCTTCAAATCGAATTTCGGCTAAAAATATGTGGATATACCAACAACTAAAAATAATCATGTCATGCATTATCATTAACATTATTGCTAACAGGGTTCCTGCGCCGCTGCTATTAGGTTCGTACATGACCTGCACGCCCGGAGAACAAGTGCCGCCATCCCCCAACCGGGCATGGCAGAAACCTGCGGGTGCCCAATAGACATTCTGCCAAACACAGACACACACGTGTATGATACGAGAAAAAAATTACCTGCACGCCAATATTTACACAACGGTCAATGTCACATTGTCATCGATGGGTTCGAGTGGGGCCGGGACAGATTTCCCGATTTTGATAGCGGTAGTGATAAGCTTTTGGCCGAAATGATAAGAGTGGTTGTTCTTTGGTATAACATCGGTTACACAGTGACCAACTTGAGGTGGTGTTGCATAGCAAGTCGAGGGATATTTTCGATTTGCGGAGCGGAGCGACGGCGCCGAGGAGCGTAGCGACGAGTGCCGCTAACAAGGCATCACTGTAAATTATTTCTTATTGGTGGTGTCACTGCTGGATCTCTGGTATATTCTGGTACGAGTTGTGGTATATCGAGATATCATAAAAAATTTTTCGCTTATCAAAATCGGGAAATCTGTACCCGTCCCGGGTTCGAGTCGACAGTTCGTGAAATAATTATGTGCCTCTCCCGCGACTATGCAGCGTGAGGCTGTGAGCCTCGTCGCGGAAAAAGTGGGGGTGGTTACGGCCAGCCGCGGCGACGACAATATGGCTCACAACGCCATCTCTGGAGCTTTGGTTACGTTTTACTTTTACTGTGACGGCCTCTTAAGTAGTTAAAATATATAGTAAGTTATATTCTTAATTATCAAATTAGTACATTTTTTTTAAAACCTGTACAAAATAATTATATCCTACTGTATAGTGTAGGTATTATACAAACTCACATAACCACATCTCTACTCCAAAATCTAATTCTCAAGTAAAACAAAATATAAGGTACCTACTATTTTATTAAAAATTATCATGAAAATAATGTCATCACTAAATCACTTTATCAATGTTATCTGATTTTGTTAATTTCAAAAAAGGGGCCAATGTAGGCAATTTTGTATAAGGATTAGGTTTTGTTTTGACTAAACACGTTTTCTTAAATTCTTTGCTGTGATTGGTTGGGTAGGTTAGATGATCACAAGATCAACCTAACTAACCGAACACAAGACATTTTTCAATTGTTATTATAATTATTGTTCTATGTTATAACCCTCGATATCGTGATAACCATTTGTTTCATAAATATTTCTTAATAGTAATATTATTTTTTTAGAATGCGTAAGACAATTAAAAAAAACTATAATTTTCAATATAATATACAATATTCAATTATCGTATTTCTATAGTATAATTCTTAAAAATAATTTATATTTAGTTTAATTTAACGTGCCAATCAATCCCCAGTATAATGCTACTGGGAATTTTTTTTCCAATAATTTCTTAGAGTAAATTATTTACGAATGTGCAAGTACATTTCGTCAGTTTAATACTTAGTATAATAACAAATTATAATACATACATAGTAAATATTGGTATAAAGTTGTTTTTAATAATTAGTAAAGATATAACAGAATATTGTACATCGATGTATATTATAGAATCATATACCTTTCAGTCAAAATATAAGAAGTATTTAAAAATATATTTATAAATAAAATCAAGTTTAACTTTATTTCGTATTTATCTATTATAGATTGGACCATGTAAGGTGGCTTTGATAAAAATCAATAACAATACTTGGGCATTTATTATTAGCATCAGAAGCCTTGACATATGATGGTTCTTCGACGTCCTTCCATTTCATTAAAAGATAATTTGTACCTTCTATCGGTTTAGAGTGGATAATCATTTCTGGTTCCAATCCTAAAAGAAATCCGTTTGAGCGATATTTCATACTCGGTGAAGGCAGCTTGGGTAAAGATTTTCCACTTGCAACCTATTGAGATAAAAATGTCTAATTAAAAATATAAGACATCACAACAGTTCATTTTTGTTTTCGAACCATTTTCATCGTGTTAATAGAAATCTACGTTTGTGTAAATTGTTAAAGTCATATAGGTACCTAATACTGTAAAATATATTTACTTACACCAGTGTTAATTTCTTCCGACATCGTATAAATACAATAGCTGTGACTTGTATATTATAATATGGAAGCTGGTATTTTGGTGAGGCGACTACTCGGGTATCACTGGTCCAGACCGTTCTGAGTATAGCTAACGACTAACATAGTGACAAACTAACAAAGCAACGTGACTGCGGCCTATGCGAGAATGCGAGATACGGTTCGAACGGACAATGAAGGTTAGGAAGTTAGATTCATCTTTTTTCTACTGACAAAAACGCTGGCAGGGTCTTTTTTCTATGATAATAGTAGTCCTGTGTAGGTTCGTAGCTGGTGTATCCCCCCCCCACCCCTGTAACTCAACAGTTGTGCGTATTACTGACAACGGTCAACAGCTAGTTTATCAGTATAGATGGCAGATGCTGTTCGTCGCCCACTGAATAATATAATTAATAATTATGTGATTTATTTGCGTTGTTCAGTCGACTTTCTAGTGTTGAATTGTTTAAATTAATAATAGTTGTAACAACTATTAACAATATAATATTATAATTTATAATTTAAACAATTCAAATAGCTACTTCATTTTTAAAAGTAGGCTACTATAAAAAATGTACACATCGTAACGCAAAATATATATAAATATAACATAATACCTACAAATTATAATATTTCGTTGGTATTGTATCAGCTAAAACTGATCTTAAAATTTGATTTCACAATAGTGTCTTTTACTTTCATTTAATATACCTGATTAAAATTCATAATATATACAACATATTACAATATTATGAATCGACAAAATATATATATTTTTATCTTTATTCTTTATTATGTATATTATAATATAGAAGAAGCAGTTGATGAAATTTTTATGGATTTCTGACTCAAAATATTTTGCAAATTTTCCTGATTTTTGCGAATTGTGTCAAAATTCTTAATTCAAACGCTTATAAAAATCGTGTGGTTTATAGAAAACGTGGTTATAAATATTCAGCAAAAATGTCATATATTTACCATCATTTTTTTTAGAGTTACAGTATTTTTCGTAAAATTAAATATTAATTTGAAGTATAAAAAGTAAATTTAAGCCTCAAAAGAATATGAAAACAAACTTACTTGCTTTCAACATCGACTCTTTCGGGTCTTGTTGGAATCTGTGATATTGTGCGTGGACTGCGGAACAAATCAAATATCTTCTACTCAACTTAAGTCTGAAAATATTATGATTTATTATGAAAAACAACTGTACAGAACGCAGTAGCCAGTAGGTGTCTTGTTCATGTCTGCTTTGCTAACTGAAATTTTAGAATCTTTGCATTTTTGTAACTATTTCCACAATCACCACGGATTTTACTATAGTCTATACTTTATACTACGTCAATATGATAGAACCAAAGATATATATTAAAATACAAAGTTTTATATGAAAGAGGTCCGTGTTTGCAATTTGATCATTGATTTAATGAAATGTGATATAACAATAACCAAAATAGTTTTTATAATTTTAAAATTTAAATTTCAACATTACATAAAGAACCAATTATTTTAATTTTTTATTTAACTGTTGATTAAGATGGTGTTTAAATATTAAAAACACAAGCATATTTTATTACGATTTATTAAATAAAAATCTTATTGTAAATAAATGTGATTACTACTTTTTAAATTTAACATAAAGCCTATAAAGGTGCATAATGCATAACATTTACCTCACCGACCAATGACCATACCAACCAGTCCGTAAAATGCCAAGTTAAATATTTTCTCTGAATGTTGTCGAGCACGAAATTAATAATTAATATTTCATATATCTAGGAACTCCTTTCTACACTTCGAACTGAAAGGATCGAGATATTTAATAAAAATTATTGAGCAGAATGAAATATGTGATTAAAGACTACTGAATGTTGTGTTTAACGAATAATGGCTTATTGATTTACTGTATCTTATATCAAGGCCGTAGCCAGGGGGGGGGATTAGGGTTCAAACCACCTTCAAACATTTTTTTGATTTAAGATTTAATTATTTTTTGAATGAAGATTAATTTAATTTAAATAATATTTTTATATTTTATTATTTTATTATATAATATAACATATTTATACTCTACCCCGGGCCCACCATATATTTTTCTGGCTACGGCCATGCCTTATATATTTCTCTTTTGTTCATTGAAATTATTATAATTGTGAATCGTCTCCGATATGAGTGACGACGATTGGCTTTTGCCACAGATAATAATAATAATATTATATACTATGATATCGTCTTCAGTTTTCGAGTGTTTACTTCTTTGGATGACACTATACATTTTTTACTTCAGATTCAGAAACAGAATATTATTGGAAGTATTTAAATCAAAACAGTTCATAATGATGAAAGTATAGGCATATGTTAGATATTTTTAAAATGTATTATTATTTATTAGTAACTGCCCATCGGGCTTGCGGATTCAAAATTAAAATCATAAAAACTTTGAACCTTGGACTTGAGACAGTTTTAAAAAATGATGTGAAATTATGAAAAATCATAAGTCACATATGACATATGTCTTAACGAAAACTAAGATGAATAAAATATAAGATGACTATTTGAAACCAAGTTAATTTAGGCTTGCAATGTAATGTAATGTTGTGTAAGTGATTTCAACTTGGAAAAATGTATCAAGAACATAAATTTATAGAACAATTTTTAAAGATTTAAATGTTATATAAAAATGATAAGATATGATTAAATAACAGTATACAGTTCATTGATGAAGGTAATATAATACACAATAATTAGATAGTAATTAACAACCATTAAAATTATTATTTTAATACCTAACAGAGATCCAATAATTGTTTAGCTAGGTTTTAACAACTCGACTAGTAAATACTATATTATAGTTTTATTAAAATTGATAAATAATTAAATAGTATATACTGCAGCGTAAATAATTTAAATATAGAAGTGTAATAATGATTTTCTTTCAAAAAACGAATGTCTCGCTGTGACGCCGGTTATAATAGTAGCTATCACAGCTGATGTATATGATAAACATAAATATTATTATATACATGACAAAATATATTAATTATTCATACATTTTGTCATGATTATGATATATATCTGTGGTATCTATAGGCCATGCTCGGAGAGCCTTAATAATAAGGTATTAGGTATTAAAATAAGAATAATAATCTAATAATATTTTCTAGCCGTGCATACTGCGGGGCCGTATTAAGATCTTAAATCATGCTGCGTAGAAGCGTGGCTCGTGTGATAATGAAGACGTGATTATTTTAGTGATATTTTAGTATCACCTTGGTGATTATGTGAAATCATACACAGGTTAACAATATTTCCAACGTGAATCTCATACAAGACAATTTGTGATATCTTTGCCAACACTGTTATGAACGATTATAATTACAGAGATTATCACTCAAACTGTTAAAATTTGTTCGTAAAAAATATTTTTTGTTTTCTTTTGTTACTATTTTGTTATACATTTGCAAATATTTATTAGCCAGTAGCCACTAACCACTTTTATTTGGAATGTTTATCAATGTGTAGTATAATATCAGTATAAATTCGGATGGTGATTAGTAAAAAAAAATGTCTAAACTTGAGTTAAAAATATCGGACACTTACATTTTTTCACCAATTTTACGTTTCAAAATATAACATTAATTTATAGTCTAAAATTATTTCGAAATGGTAAGCGACCTTTGTAACTAATAATAGATTATAGCTCATATGAGACCATTTAAAATGTATTAATTATCTTTATTTTCATTTCTACCTAACCCTATTTACTTAAGTATTTATGATAGCCCATTTTTATTTATTTGTATGTATACACAAATAAATAATAATATATATCTAATCCATTCATTATCTTGTTTTAATTTGTTTGATTTTCAGAACAAATTAAAATCATCTCAAAAGGATAAAGTGAAAAAATTTATGACATTCACACAGACATCTGAAAGTGTTGCAATTTTTTGTTTAGCCAAAAATGACTGGAAACTAGAACAAGCGTCTGATAACTTTTTTCAAAGTCCACATGAATACGAACCTGCGAAAAACAACAACCCAGGTTTTACAGTTGATAAAAGAAAGCTGGAGGCCATGTATGCCAGATATCGTGGTAAAAATTGTATATTATTTATTATATTTAAAACAATAAGCATTAGTTTTCTCAAATCGTAAGAACTTCATTTTAGTATACAGTTTTGTTTTAACAAACTTTAAACACAATTATTTTATTAGTATTATCATTACTTTACTAATGATTTTTGTTTACAAATGAGTTTTTAAGTATTTTAATATTTTACATAGATTACATTATTTTGATTAGACAATATTTTGTTTTATTTATCGAAACATAATTTATGTATTGTTTTAGATCCAGCTGAACAAAACAAAATTAATGTTGAAGGTGTTATGCGTTTGCTAGATGAACTCAAATTACCTCCTGATTCAATATTAGTACTCATAATTGCTTGGAAATGTCAAGCAGCAGCTCAATGTGAATTCACTAAACAAGAATTTTTAAATGGAATGAGTAAAATGGGGTAAACTTATATATCATATATTATAATAGAAACATAATAATTATAACTAAATCGTATTTTTAAATTATTCTAACTTATTAAAACTTAAGTCATTATTTTAATTAAGACAGTTTTACTCAAATACAACATTTTTCTGATACGGGTTTAAACTTTATTTTTTTACACAGCAGTACAGCATGGGTTTTAATGGCATTACCTCAATATCTCCATTACCAATATCTGGTTAAAGTTATAGTATCTTAAATGTGTTTCAAATAAAATGTTGGTAAACAAATATATAAATTCTAAATAATAGGTACCAAAAAAAAATATGCAAAGTAAAAAATAATGATGCATTATAATCTTGTTTGTTGTATTTTTTTTTTCAAAGAATTTTCCATATATTATAATATATTGAAAAGTACATAAATGCAATTTATTTTGAATTTTATATGATAACTCGATGTTTTCTTGCAGAACTTGTACTTTGTCCAAAACTTTAGCATAAGAAAGTTAACAATATTTTTTCGGTTTCCAACTTTCTTTGAACACCTACCATGCCAGTAAAAAATGTATCAAAGTAAAGATGATAGGACTAATGAATTAGTGATTATGTATTTATGTGTCAGTGTTGATGTTTTGAGTTGTGATGCAACTGTTATTCTTAGTATCTGTTTTTCATCCTCTAACTTTTGATATATTTATTTGATCAACATTGTATACCATGTCTTCTAGGGTAATGGGAATATTTTATGTAACTCACAAAAGTAAAAAAAATTGTATTGAA